ATACTGGAAAACAACAATGCTGTGGGAAACAATGGCTGGATCTCAGTAGAGATACAAAAATGATAAGCAGCAGCTAAAAAGTAAACGTAAGTAAACAGCCAGAAATATATAATATAATATAAAATAATATAAATTATAAATAATATAAATAATATAAATAATATAATATAAAATATGTAATATATATATATATATATATATATATATATATATTACAGTTTCTAAAATATTGATGGATTTGACGCACAGTGTGAATAGATACTAGGTTACTATTGATCTATTAATTAATTTCTAAACGGATTCAAATTCCATAAAGCCGAGTTGCTTAGTTGGGCCGTCGTTTTCATATGAAGCAGTGGACTATAGATGTTGACTATTTAGTCTGCTATTAGAGTTGAATTCTGTTCTGGTGAACCACTTTAGATAATGATACAACATTTACTCAAAATGAAACTTAGTAACATAAATTGCGAGAAGTTCATGTATTTAATGTGTGTGATGATATTTCCATGTTTTTCAATGTTTAAAGAAGTATTTTACTTATTATTCTACATAGATTTTTGACACTTTTCCTACTTTCCCTGCCGTCCTTCTTTTAGAGTGAATGATCTCCTCCTCAAAAAGTTTCCTGAAAGAGATTTCTTTAATTTCAAGAGACAATGTGTCGTAACGATTGAACACAGATTCCACATCTATGATTGACATATGTCAGATGGAATCGTTGATTGATTGAATTTGCAATAGAAATTGACAGGCCGTACTGTATTCCATTTTCCCTAGGCGTCACAAGCGGTAGTATGCTGCCGAACACGTCGGCTGTTCTCCAGACCTCCATCAGAGATGAATTGCTGTTAGATCAACTCTCATTTCATCGTAGACGTCAGGTAAGCAGCGCTCTAAAGGTGAGGGCTCACTCCAAAACCACATTTTTCCATAGAGTTGTACAGAAGAATAGTCCAGACGATCAAATTTTATTTGAAAAACTGTTGTATATAGTCATGATACGCCTATATATGGTCATGATGTGCCTATATATGGTCATGATGTGCCTATATATGGTCATGGTGTGATGTCATCATGACCATAGCGTTTAGGCATGCCACATGTTTTTGTCAAATAAATGTTGATTGTCGGAACAGGAATTTATAAAGTCTAATCGCTCTGCCAGCATCAAAATGTGATTTGTCATTAACGAGCCAACAATACGTCCGGCCGTAGCCATGTCGATTTTTACTGTGAATAGTTTGAAACTACTAAAACTATTTACAACTTAAAACAACATTGTATAGGAAAGATCTGACCATACAGACGTACGCAAACCTCGACGCAGAATGTTTTTGCAAAGGCTTGCGTTGGAGTCAATCCATTTGCGCTTGCGTTTAAACGTGATAAATTAATACTTAAGCCGGTTTCTCACTTTGCGCGTTTTGCTTACGACAAAGCTAAGCTACGACGACACGCTCAGTCTAAAATCGTCTGGTGCACGGGGTAAGTGTGAGAGGTATTAGGCCTATAATACGACACGGCACGGATAGTCATATGGAAGAGTGCAATATCGTAAAATTTTGAACAGGTTCAAAAAGTTGTAGTCGTAATTGTCGTATGCAGATTAACGTAAGCAAACCGTAACGTGTCAGCACTGTTTCCTGGTCAGACTGGCTTAAAGCGCGCAGAGTTCAAAATAAAATACCCCACCCCAATAACGTGAAAATTACTATTATGTCGGCTCAATGACAGCGAATTTCTGCCAATGTCGGTATAGTGGAATTAAGTGCTCTGTGTAGACTTGCAATATAGTTCTTCTATAGGCCTAATATCTTTATGTTCTAAACAATATTTTTTGTGCCTTCTACTATAAAAAAAGTTTTGTTATTTGATTATATATAAGTCCAATATTATAAATATTTACCCCAATTGCATTATTCACATTATTCTGTTATTAAATATAAATAACAGAATCGAAAGAATCATCCAACATCAATGATAATTTTAAATTAAGTATTCTGTATTTTCAAAATGGCAATCTATTAATTCAGTAGAAAATATCTAAGACCATTACCAATAAAACCGGACACTCACTACATCGTACGACCGTCGCACGACGAATCCACATTTGCTTCCGGAGAGCGATAGACGACGCAACGCCGTCTGCTGATTGTCAGTGGCAATCTGAACGGATCCTCATTAAAAAGACGATCCGTTGGGTCCGCGTCTTCGCGTGCGTTCTTCGTCGCGTTGCCGTCGCGTCGCCGTCGCACGCAATGAGTAATCGGCTTTACAGTGCTGCGTAAAAATGCGCTGGTGGTAACGTAAGTGCAATTTCGCTCCAATTCCAAATTCTGGAATTCCGACGCCAAGCATTTTTATTGGGCAAAGACGCTATGTGACGTAATCGACGGTACTGTCTATTGGATTTAAGTTGGTGCATTAGTGCACTAGTTTATTAAATTTTCTCGGAATTATACATTTGTTGTTACTATTAGGCCTATTATCATTACGCATGTCGAATATATCAATAAACCACCAATACCCATTCGAGTCTATTTAACTTATTGACCTCAATATTTTAATTATGGTATAAAAGACCATTAAACAACGCGCTACAGATTATGATTCCAGGGGAAAAAACCTCGGATTTCTACTTACTTAATTGATGTTGATTGAAAACTTCTATTTAATGATTAAGTACACTTAGTAGAAGCTACAAGCATCGTTTACATAATAACAGCATTTGCTCTTTAATAACCAGTTAAGATAAATATGAAGTAATAACAATAGATTAATGACTCAGGTCTAAGGGCTTCTTTATCGTACCTAACAATAAAGTAAATTGGTTCGCTTTATTCATTTCGATAATTGTAATAGCTTTTTGATTGATGGAATATTTTTTTATCTTTTCAAAATGGCAAAAATGTTGAAATTATTGACAAGCGATTTTACTTGCCTCGGTATATTCAAATCTTGTAATTAAAACAATAATATCTACTTTCCTATTTTAAATTATTAGATGCAATATTGCACGAAGAATATGTTGACTAAATCATATTTTTCTCGTTAAAGTAATTCATTATGGAGTCATAATTAAATAATATAACAATATTTAATATGCCTATAATAAATACAAATTTAAAATAATTAGAATATTAACACCTTTATGTATTTACAAATTTCTTTATATGCCATTAATTTGTTAATTTTTAATAATATTGTACTGATTATATTTTGCTCACGTTTACTATGCATTGCTCATGTTATGAGGACGTGATGGAATCAGCTTTGCTGTTGGGATACCAAAATTAAAACGTCATTGTATGTTATCTGCATACGTATCTATACATTAATTTTGTTTACAAAATAAAAATAAATCACCGGTAATGATACTTTTTTTATCGTTATCTTATCAATAATCGCACCTTCAAGTACCGTAATCAATATAAATTACTTAACTTGGGACAACCCACTGCTGTCATGTTATAATTCTAGCAAAGTAGGTCCTATATATTATCATAAATTGTTATCACACCTTTGATATGTTACATAATTGTTTGACAAAAACTTAAGAAATCATTTATATATTTCTAATGGAGGGATACCCCATAAAAAAAAATAGTTAATTGTAACGATTTGAGAGTAAATTGATGATCTGTATAGTCTGTCCTTTGTTTCAATATTTCAATAGGAATTATTATTTATATCTTTTAGCGCCGTAATCGAACGACGTTTACTCCACAGCAACTACAAGAACTGGAAGCGCTATTTAATCGTACACATTATCCGGATATATTCGTCCGTGAAGATCTCGCAATCCGAACACATCTCAGCGAAGCCAGAATTCAAGTGAGTTACTAATACTTCGATTACATATTATTATATATGTATATATAAGTATTATCATTTATGGAATGGGATCGCAGTATAACATGTTTTATCAAAATCAAAGTTCCTAATATGATAGCTTGATGATTTGTTTTGGAGACCTGGATATTTTCACTTGACGAAAATATCAAATGTTTCTTTTAGATTACTTGGTATTTGTGTGAATATCAAATTGCATCATCTATATTCTGAAATAAAAATAATATTATGGTATTTTATTTCTTTTTCAAAAACACAACATAAACATAAACATCTCCATTAATGAGAGTTGTGAAGAATTTCTGAACTAGAGTTGGCCTGCTCAGCTGATGCTGAATAGAGTAGGAGGACATGAATGTAGGCCTACAAATACATTTATGTTTCCTCTTTTAAGGTGTGGTTTCAAAATCGAAGAGCGAAATGGAGAAAAACCACACGTATGCAACTTGGACACGATCCTTGGAGGCTCCGTCGACTTCCTTCGTACACTCCGAGCCCGATGCAACGGAACCCATGGTTGGCTGCCGCTGCTGTCGGTCTGATGTGTCCACCACCTACAGCCACGCTTCCTTTAGACTTGTTAGCTCATGACTCTACAGGTCATCATACGCCCTCGTCGAGTGATGTTGAAAAGTAAGTGCCGCTATTAATATGTCATGATATAGGCCTTTATACTAAAGAAACGTATATTAATTATTGATAGCAATTACCGTCATTATTATAAGTCCGATTTATTGTTTGACAGTCATAATAGTAATATATCGTATCGTAAATTGCGCCAAAAATTATTTTCGATATCTTGCAAGTAAAAAATAGTAAAATTTAAGATGTAATGTAGGCATAGTTAAACGTTTCATATGAAACGGAAATATATCATGATTGAAAACAGAAAATGACCAACAACAGAATGAATAATCGAACAAAAAACTTAACATTAAGTTTGATTTCGTATTCATTCTCGGCAGATGTGCTTTAAATGCTTTTTGCTTTCAAATTGTTTAAGAAAACATCAAAGAGAAAAAATAGTTAATCTCTTAAAAAAGCGTTGATAAAACTATCCCTCCGCGATCCCGTAACCTCTGCCACTATCGACTGTCATTTAATCAGAACGAGATATGCGAGTGTCTAACGTGTTTACATCAAGTAGTGGTATGTTACAGGACGTCTTCAAATCCATTTGGGAGGACGCTTCAATCACTCAATTTCTATTAACGTAAATTTTGACGATTACGATCAATCAGTCTATTTTTAGCTAAACAAAACTGTTTTATGCGTAATTAAAAGGATGAAGTCGTCATAGATGTTATTTATTTTCCAAATGTGACAAATATTCCACGGTCTTTTTTTTTACTTTGATTGGTTATTGATATAGTCAGATTTTAAAAAAAATGAATGAATATTAATATTACAATGTTCCTGTGATTTGTCCAACTGGAACTTTTATATCAAAACTAAATATAAATAGTTATAACAATAGTGCCTAAACCATTGATGCACTCATGTTTAGCGACCTTTTTCTTTACACAATTTTTCTTTTTCACAAGTAAAATTGCAAATTTCAGAATTGAACGATGCTTTTAAGCATCACAAACCATGCACACAGGGTTCTCTCCGTAAACTATGGCTCATTGTGAGACTAAAGGAGAGAATCATTTAGGGTCGAGGGAAAAAAAATGTACCTGTAATTGAGTCCAGGACCCTGTAATTGGATCTTAACCAAGCTACAAATATAAACTAAAGAGACATAGGCCCTATTCCAAAATGGAGTTGTTGAGATTTAACTTGGTAGTAAAGATACTTGGTACGGTATCTCAGTGCTCCAGTTCAAGATAATGATCGACACTAGAAAAAAATTTGTTCTCTAGAACTTCCTGTAATTGGCGAGTTTACTTTTTAGATCTAAAAAGCGCAGCCCAAAACATTCCATCCATTTCAATAACCTATTTCTAACGAAAAGAATTTCGGAAAGCATAAAAACGAGTTCGTATATTTTTCATAAAGTTTAGATCTCCTAAATGGCGTAGCAGATAATTCAGTTTTATATATTTTTGTTGGGAAAATTTCTGTTCACATGGTAATAATTTGAAGACCTCATTTATGCGTTTCGTCAGTATTTTTTTAGTTGTTAAATGTCTATACACAACAAAATAACGTATTTCGGATTTTGTTTTCTTCCTCATTTTTTTACTACCAGATGTGGCATGACTCTAGGCTCTGTTGCTGTACCAAGCTGTTCATGTTACTCGACGCTAGTGTCCACGCCAAGTACCTACTCTGGTATGTTCGGATTTGTCAGTGCCTGTAACACAACAAGTTCATCGAGCATTGCCGAGCTCCGTCTGAAGGCAAAAGAGCACGCCGGAATAACCAAGGACCCGAATCTTAAAGGCCAGACTACATGAACAGATTGAGTAGGGATATTGAAACATGTGGTTTAAGATAATGATTTCAATTGGATAATAATAAACTGTAAAATAAATTATTTTGCTTAGCTTTCTCAACCAATGAAATTCATTACCTCAATGAGTTTGAATCCAATACAAACAATGTTTTTGTGGCATAGCTTTACAAAGTAATAATGTAATGATTTGATATCATTTTAACTTTGAAAACTCTTCATTATTCATGCCATTGAAATGTTATCATAAACACTGCTTTTCTAATCAGTATATTTAAGTCAATAGATTTGGAATCAGTTTACTGTGTATTACCCATATTTCCGATTATATTGATAGACCTATATAAGTTGAGCTTATACAATACATACCATTAGGACAGCATACATCAGTTCGAAAATATAAGACTCAACATCATGCTCTCTTCAATCTATAGGAACATGATACGTGAACGTTGATCTCTAAGTTGTCAACAACTTAACATTTTCTTTAACAAAAACTGTTGTATGGCAATAGTCATAATGTGCTTATTAAGGTCATAATGTGATGTCATCACTACCATATTCAAGCATGTCACATAAAATGTGATTTGTCCGGACAGGCTTAATCTTGTGATGCTGCTGTCATTATATTATTATTATTGTTATTGTTATTGTTATTATTATTATTATTATTATTATTATTATTATTATTATTATTATTATTATTATTATTATTATTATTATTATTATTATTATTATTATTGTTAATTATTATGGTTACATTCTTTTATTCATTTACCCTCTCCTACTCCAAGTAAATAACAGAATATTACTAGTCAGGTAATCGGTCGAGCTTTACGGATTTTCGCTTCATCCAATTCAGAATGCCTTATCAATTATATAATCAAATGATATGGAAATTATTGTATCAAGTTTTTCATTGTTTGTCATTAAACTATAAACTGTTGGATTCAGATTTAATTGCCTATACATTGTGAACTACCGGTTCATCCCACTTTAGATAGCCCACTGTATGACCATCTGATGGAGTATGTGAGGCTTTGGTAGGCCTACGCCCTTTAAGTGTGATAGGGGTTAAGAAAAGTGTATACTAGGCCTAGTTAGTTTTTAATAAAAACTGATCATTGTTTGGTAATAAAGCGTTATGAATGTAATTCTACAGCAGTATTAAATCTTTCCATGTGTTTTTACAGAGTGGCATCCTTGGCGGATCCAGGGGTGGGAAAGAGCGATTCTCTTTCTCAGGCATATTCCTTTCCTCAGGCAGCAGCAAATCAAATCTCTTAACAAAAAGAAAGTAAGCGTGTATATTGGCTGGGCTTGAAGGGAACACTTAAACACACGCAACACTATATGAGTGTTTTATCTGCACCGGGTTGTGCACCACAGTCTCTAATTTTAATTTTAATTTTTTAAAGTCTCTAATAAAATAATGTATGTGACTGAAAAGTTGATGATGTCCATTCGGAGAACTGCTGGAGCTACAAAAAAGTTCGAACATACTGAGACAAAGTTTTCACCACATCTATAATATTGCAGGGCTATCCCATATTTCCAAACTTATACGTACACTTTACATACAAAACGAAAGAGACAACAATCACCTGATTGTATATGCCCATTTACAATTTTATTTCTACAGTACTCGCATGATGTCGTTCCTATATTCAACGAAGTCTGCAATTTATCTAATCACGTGATCTAATGTTACACACCAGTACGTTTATTATTGTCTACATCAGTATGTTAATGTTAAAAATACATCACATTAATTTACTTTAATGTTAAAACTAGTAAAAATATATTTAAATAGACATTTCCCGAATGTAGTAATAATTTTAGCAGTTAAATAGTTAAATCTGCTAATTCTGGGTATACCAATAAATATGTAGACCTATCATGGTCTAATCTACTTACTCGATAATTTTAATAAAATATGCTTACTTGCTTTACGACGTAATGTAATACAAATAGTGTAACTGTCCACATTTCTTAAAACATTTTTCAAATGCAAACACTTCGTTTTTCAAAGGAAATCTGATACAACTGATGCCTTTTATTGCACAAAAAGTTCTTTCATTTTCCACATGATTTTTTTAATGAAAGTGAAAATAAAATCTACATCCATCTTTTTGTTCGTTATCAGCAAGATATAAAAACAATAGAAAAATAAACAATCATATACAATTATTCAAGTTGTTGCGGTATTGTGTGTGTTGGTGGAAAGAGCGCCCTCTTGTAATCTCTGTTGGCATAAATAGCGCTCTCATCCTGCCAAGTGTTGCGACCGAATCTCCTGTAATCTGCAGTATCTGTGAACTGACTATGGCACTTGCGGTATCCATTTGAATGATCAGGGAAATCCGGTGGCTGCTCCTAAAAAAAACAAAAAACAAAAAAAACAATAATTTTTTGGGCATCACCATACTTATGGAGATAAATCCATTTTTAGAAACTGTTTCTTTCACCTAAGTTTTAGGGAAGGCTTAAAATCATTTTATTTATTATATATAATTAAAAGGAGGGGGATGCCCACAGTCTTTTTATCCAGATGGGTACATGGTATAAAAGGCTGTGATTGCTTAGAAATTAAATTTAAACTGAGTGGAAACAGTTAGAAAAAGAGTTCCAGAGGAGATTGCAATAATAATAATAATAATATAATAATAATATTAATAATAATAATGATGATGATTATGTTGATTAAGATGATGATGATAACGATGACTATGGTAATGCTAATGAAAATTATGGTAATGTTGATGATAATTAATATTAATTTTGATGATGATGACGACAACGACGATGATGATGATGAAGACAATGATGATGATGGCAAAGATCATAATAAATATGATATGTTGATGATGAAGATGAGGATAATGGTAATAATACTGTAAAATTAAAGCAAAGAAAATCTTGTAAAGAAAGTTCTTTGTCACATACTACAAGCGAACTGGACAGCATGGGAACAGAAACGAGTCGAGTGGCCGAACGGTAAGGCAGGGAAGCCGCTAGCTACAGCTTTAACATCGGCACTGGTTCCAGCCGCTCCTCGCACATGGTTCGGTTGGTAGAACCAAGTCTTCCCGGATAAGGACTTAAAATAGAGGTCCAGTGTATACATCTGGCTCATGTGCACTTTAAAGAACCCATTGCATCTTTTGGAAGAGTAGGGGGTTACCCCGATGTTATGGTTCATTTCAGCCCCTGTCGTTGTGAAATGATGAAAACATGTATCTACCAAGAAGCGCCTCTTTACGGCTGCTAGGTAGTCACGGACCACGCCCATACGCAACTCAGCACAATGATGCTGCAACTTATGGGTTATTCTCCTACCTTTACCTACTTCTAATTTTACCATACCCACATTAAGGTGCAGAGCCCAAACTGCAATCATCAAATGAATATCGATATTTTTTTCACAATAATATGATGACCTTGGCTTCTGGTGTATGTTGACATGTGAGGTAATTAGCGAGGAAGTACTTATGACTTTTGATAAATGAATGCAATGTATCAAATTTTAGAGGATATTCGGATAAATAAATCATTATTTTAAAAAAATCGAAAGTAGTGATTGACAAGTTTTCAAAGTTATGTTGACACTTGATATATCACCTGAAGATGTATACGTCTTAAAGAATGCAAAATTTGATGTACACACAGTGCATACGGCCAAATACACACCTACACACATGGCGGAGCAAACACTACACTGCTGTCAAATCCACCCTTTATGTTTAGTGCACCCCAGAATGCTATAAACAATTATATTTATTTCATCAAGTTGCTTGATAAATTGTAAGTATAAAACTCATTGATGTAAGTTAAGCAGCGGCATATCTAGAAGTCTTGAAATAGGGATGCTGATGGGGGGGGGGGGACGCGGTGCTACTTGCAGGTGACATTTTGTTGGGGGGGGCGAGACTGGGGGGAAGCAAGTAATTTTTGGAGGAACGTGCATACCTCGCTAGATACGCCACTGTAGTCAAGTAATACAGTCTAATGAACTCATAAACCAAGGACTTCAACTAGTCAACAATTAACTAGTTAACAGTCTTTGCATAAACTGCAGTAATAATGTAAAGGAATTTATTTTACACATTTTGCAAAGGGATACAGGGTGCTGGCAATGGTGTTATTGCCAGAAGGTCACTGGATCTATAAATCTGCAAAAAGTGCCCAAAGCACAACCTCCTCCACACTCTAGTCGAGCTTTATATAATGAACACAGGACAATACATTCAAAGCTACAACAATCTAATAAAAGGTACTTATCTATACTTCTGAAGGGAGAGAAATGGTAGACATAGAGCAGTGTCACCCCTGATTGTAAATTCAGTAGTAAACCAGGATTTTGTAAATTCAGTAGTAAACCAGGGGCCAATCCTTTGCTCATTTTCAAAGAGTGATACATGTTTTTTAACATATACATGGATCATGTAGTACATGGGACAAGCAACTTCAAAGTCCCTTTGAAAATCATTTTTAATGACGATCAGTTCAGACTGCCACCAACAATCAGCAGACAGCGTCACTTCATCTAGTGCTCACATGGAAAGGAGTTGGATTTGCCAGCTGACAGTTGTACGACAAAGAGAGTGCCCAGCTTATACTAATATCATTCTTATGAGCTTGCAAATATAAAATACCCTTAAATTTCTGAGAGAAAATTTAAAGGTTTTCGTAGTGAAAAGCCTATAGATCATTCAAACTGTGACTTATTGAAAGTGATAATTTATGTTGTTATTTAAAAATGAGCAGTTCAAACTTTTATTTTTCAGGGTATTTTTTTTTTTTTTTTTCTTTTTTTTTTGGGGAAATATATCTTTATAAACTGACACAAGAGTCATGATGTATTGACAGATATTTTGAAAAGGAGATTCGAAGGAAAGAGAAGAAAAATGTCATTTAAAGATAAAGGACCACTTTACTACTTTATGACACTTGTTGGGATCAGTGAAATCAAGAAATTTGCCAACAGGGGGTCCAACATGATCGACAGGGGGCTGGAACCAAGTGGTCGAATGGAGCCTCAGTCAGGGTCTCTGAATAAAAATCCCTGGTACGGTACACAGAGAGAGCTTTATGGTCCACTAATAGAGATTGGCAATCAAATGATATTTGGATGGGCAAAGTATTATGCCTGGTCCGACGACCTTGTTGTGGCATCTGACAATGGCGGGGTTGGGGAGGGGAAATGCCCTCCCTGGTATCATCACTGATTGAGATACAGAGAATGGCCCACAATGGATAAGCATGATAAAATTCTGGAGTAAGGATTATCAATGATTCTAAGTGAGTTTTTATTGCTACAAATTCACTGATTAAAAGCACTGTACTTTAAAACATTTAAAAATTGCATATGACAGGACTAAAACAGTAACTGGTGACTTTTAGTGTTTTCGTTACAAAATTTTAAGAAAATATTAAAGGATATATTTATAGGAAAAATGTTCTAAACATGATGCAGTAAAATGTACTTACTCCATCTGTGATGTCACCAATCCTACGATATGTTGCTGTATGTAGGTTTCGCTTTTGAGTTTGATCTGAAATATTGTAGTCTTTAGGTTCTGCTTCTCTTGCTTGATGCCTGATGAAAAGGAATGATACAAAAACTGTATTTACCCTTTACCTGCTGAGCAGTTGGCAAAGAGTTATTACTGTTCTAGCTCTCTACTATATAGCAATAAGGGCCAAAATTGTTCATTGAATAAATTTGATGGGCCAGGGCAAGAGACGCAGGCCTACTTTGGCACATAGCGCCATCCAAGCACCGCAGTTGCGAGCAAGGGGAGGATTGATCTCCCTTCCCAAATTAGGACTTTTTTGAAAATAATGCTTATACAGGGCATGTTGACCAAAGAAGAATGCTACCCTTGCCATATATTGAACTACACTAGAGTTCCTATATAGAAACTCTAGACTACACGCTACAAGCAGTAGAGCGCCGCCATGCTATCATGCTAGGCCGGCTGCCTAGACGTGAAACATCAAGGGATTGTGCGAGAGGACGAAAGTTGGCATGGAAGTTGATCTAATCTTAGATCAACTTCTGATACTAATGCATTAAAGACCCTCCTTAAAACCTATCTCTTTAACATAACTCTTTTATCTTTAAGCGCCAGAGACAAAAAAATTTTTTTTTAACAGGCGCTATACAAATTCTCCAATTTATTATGTATTATTATGTTATGGTTTTTTTTTCTATTTTATTAATTAAAACGCTACAAATTGTGGGGCAATATATATACTGTATAGGACTAATATATACAGGCCTAGTCGGCCCTAGTCTAACGGAAAATATTATTTTCGGCTTGTTCTCACAGGATGCATAAAACACACTCACAGGCTGCATAGTAGCACACATTCGTAGGCTGGAGATGGCCCGGGGACCGCAAGTGGAGAACCCCTGTTCCAGCTCTTCTTGTGCTGAGGACCCCGGTTCAGGTTTTAGTTGGAGTCGCATGGCTCCTTGAATAACACTTACATTGAAGGTTATGCAAGATAAGGAACATGTTTGTATCTGTATCTAAACGTTGCATTAGGGAGGTATAAAAAATAGAGGAGCGAGCTCTAATAATGTAATCTAATGTAGTTAGATTTATATAGCGCTTCATACCGAAGTCTCAAATCGCTTGAGGTGAGGACTAGCTCATACAGTAACTTGCTTACTCCCCTAAGGGTCTCTTCATATCTGCTACCCGGTAAATTGGTACCAGCTACTCTCGTCCTTCCACAACAATAAGCCTTTGAAACATGTATTGTATGCTGCTGCTCCACATAAAGCAAGTTTATACCTCCTCGGCTCCACGTTGTTGTATTGTAGGCCTAGTTGTCGGGTGGCGCAGCACTAGGTTAGGCCTAGATCAACCTTTCATTTCCAATTTATTTGAGCATAATAATACAGTATACTTGTATAGGCCTAGGCTAGGGCCCTAGGCTTAGCTAGGCTAGATAAAAAAAAAAATAGGTTTCCAAAAAAAAAAAAAAAAAAAAAAAAGTTTAGGGGTAAATGAGGCCTGACTAGTGTACGCGGATTAGGGTCGTAGGGGCCGCGAGTCGATACACAGCAATTTGTATGGAGCGCCAAGCGTGCAGTACTGTATGCAAAATGTATGTTGGACAATGGGCATCAGAGTTCGATATTAATACTGTTTTAATCAATTAACAAATTAATGTATATTTTCTTTCATAATTTATATATCGAGACTTAATATTTAGTTAGTATATTTATTATATCAATAGTATGCCTATTTTCTTACAGAAATGGATGGTAATTTTTAAATGGCTTCTTTAGTTTATTTATTCAAATTTTACTAACATGATTCAATTATGTCATGTACGTACAAAAATGTTTCAATCTGTAATCAATCTGTAAACAAATCGATCTTTAATCAACCAGGGCCAAGAAGACTACGAGAAATAAAAAATATTCCATTTTTTATATATATTTGTTTAGTACAAGTCTGATAATTATACATTGATTTCTCTATATTTCGAAACACTTGCCCAATCAATCAGTATAGCCCTACCGTACTGGCGTTCCATACATTTTGAGCGCGGCCGCTTTCTCTCGCGGTCGCCTCGACCATACTCCGTGTACGCTTATATCAGGATTCAGGCCCTGAGTTCTAGGCCTAAGGTACTACCATATGATGATAAATAGCAGTATTCCAAGGCAGGCTAAGCCTAGCTAGGCCTATGCTAGGCCCATCATATAGACCTAGCCAGGGCATAGTCTAGCAAGCTAGCTAGGCCTAGGCCTAGACCTCAGCTGGCCCAGCAGAGTCCTGAGTAATAAAATGCTTTTACATACCAGTTACTGTTTAGGGTCGGTCTTCCATAGTTCATATGATCAGATCTTAAAAATAATGAACCTTTTCTTTCATAATAATCTGGGACTCCTACGTAGCCAGACATGTTTAAATTAATTAAGCCTAGGACCTACTGTATCACATCGATACAAAACTGGGAGAGAGCGACTCGATTCTCACACATGTTTTGTTTATTTGCGTCATAGCAGTTGCCTGGTAACTTTCCAGTCGTCGGATATTTTAAAATCATGAGTGGAATTACTATTTAGCGGCTGGCAATTTTAACATTATTTATGAAACGAAAGATGAAACTGGCTTCCAAATATGTTAGTTAATTAATAGCTTTCATTATTTGTTTAACTATTTATTCCCTATAAGTAAGTTGAAAAATTTAATTTTTTATTATTTTCAGTTGTAGAAATAAATTTATTGAAAAATATGCTAAGCTATTATAGATTGTTTTTGCACCAGTTTTGCTTTTTTCCTTTGACGATCATCACAATTATTGTATAGGTAGAGGGAGTTTTCGCAGTATTTTGTTGCTGCTGTCACTGAATGAATTGTAAGTTTTTTGTGTTAATTTTATGGTTTGCAAACAATTGTTGTTATATATATATATATTTTTTTTTTTTTTGTAAAATTTGTTTTGTTCTTTACCTCATTGACATTTGTTCATTGCCATTTTACTTAGAATATGATTTAAAGCGCATGTTTCGGGCCTAGGTAGGAGGCTCCTAGGCTTAGCTAAGAAGGCTTAGAAGGCCTAGGCCTAGGCTAGAGTCTAGCGTCTAGCCTAGGCCTAGACCTGTCTTGGCTCGGCCTGGCCCTATAGCTGGCTAGGGCCTAGGACCTGCTAAGTGCTGGGAATACGCCTGCGCCTTTTCCACGATTTTAGAAATTGTTCTTAATAAAAAACAATTCTTTAGAAGCAACTATCTATCTAGGAGGGCCTACTAGGCCAAAAATGAAAAATGTAATTAACCTCAGAAATCAAGATCTAAAAAAGGGCTAGCCTATCTAATTAGTGTATTATTAAAATAGACCTTTTCTGTACAGTAGAATAGTGCTTAGGCCTAATATTTATTTATTTATTATGTTAAAAACATGAATTACTAAACTTCTTTCTAAAAAACATTGTTAATTATATTAGGATTTGATCAAAGGCTAATTTTCTGCAAAATCTGCCCTTATTTTCCGAATTTCTACGCCCAATTTTTGCGTGAGTGATACATTCCCCACGCAGGCCTTATTTATGCAGTCTGGCTATTGTCTAGTTTGTACTTACTATTAAAGTGCTGTACTACTGTTACATAGATAGGCCAATTTTAATACAGTAATAGGCTCTTCTTTTTCCACCTTTATTTCAAAGGTCAAAACATTTTTCAATATTTTTCAGTCATGTAATGGCTTAGAATAGTCGTTTTTAAAAACATTTTGCAAAAAAAAAAATTAATGCAATACGATCCTCCGTTATGGAGTTATGAATTTATCTTATTGTTGTTGGTTACATACGTACTAGTGACTTGGGTTGTTTATCATCACTACAAGATGTATACCGATTCGTGGAAAAGGCATGCTGATGCAGTGACTTATGTAGGGCCAAAGTTGACAGGCGAGCAGTGCTGCTACTGTAGACCCTGGTTAACGTACTTTTCTCTATAATTATTTTATACACATTTTCTAGGAAGCAGGAGCGTTAGCTGGTTCACACCACACTGTGTGTGTGTGTGTACAGTATGATCAGTAACTAAGCCTATCCAATCTACTTCTAGCCTACAACTAGTTAGCAAGTTTACAATGTGAAAAAACAAAGGAATGTCTAGCCAAAGATGTTTTGCAGTCTGCCGTACTGTAAATTTTTTAAATTCCGCAGATGATACCTTAAAAACCATTTCAAATTTGCGCAGAAAATCACTAGGAAAATAGGTGCGCAGAATAGTACTGTAATTACTGCATAATAATACAATGTTTATATATTAAGATTACTGTAGATGAAAGCCTAATTTTACATTGAAATTGGCCCTTATTTTCCTAAATGCGCGGACGGACTTCTAGGCCAAATTTTTACACGGAGGATATTCCACCTGCAGGCCATACTTTAGAGTCTGGAACCTGTGGTTTACAGGGACATTATCACTGTACTCACACAGATCCAGAAACAGAATATACTAAAAATGAGATCCTCTAAAATACTGTAAGAGTCAACCACCCTTCTACTAATTATAAAATGCAGAATGGCAAAGTAGATATAAATTAAGGCAAATAAAAACAGTCAGAGAAGGTAGAGTTCATTCTACACAGTTTACTATTGAGTTTAAATTTAATAGTAAAGCTTTAGTTTTTGGTTTTTTTTTTTTTTGGTTTTTTTTGCACAATGAATGCATTAAAATTTAAGTATTAAAAAAATAAATAAATAAATTACCGTATGTACAGCTGTACTCTCGTATAAGGCAACCCACATATATAAAAACCCCCAAGTTTTTCAGAAGATTTTTGGATGATTTTTGTATGTTGGACGTATGTGTATAAGACAACCCTCCTGTTTCACTATCAAAATTCATACTTTTTGCTGCTTTTTTATGGTCCTGATACTGCATCTAGCTACAGTAGCTAAAAATGGAGCCAAATGCAAGGCAAATCTTCCAAATAATACCATTAATATATAATACATAACACCAAAATCTCATTTCCTCATATTTAAAATTGCGTTCATTCATGGGCCTACTGTACTAACATTTTAGTAGCTTCATTGCAGTAGTAAGTTTGTGAGTTACAGACGATCCGCACAATAGACGAACATAATTTTAAAAATCTGAAATTTGTATGTCGCACGTACAAAACAACCCCCTGCTTTTCGATCGTAATTTACCGTTTTCTGCCTCGTCTTATACGAGAGTATATACGGTACTTCTTGCTAATTATTTATCATAATTGTATTAAAAAAGTATGTTATGTGAAATTATATTTTTTTTTAAATTATTTTTTGAAGCCGTCTGAACATCATGGAAAAGATTCCGAAACACTCATATGACCTGCACTATGCTGGCTTCAATGTTCCAAAAACACATTTCAGCTTTGAACCGAAGTGCGCTGATTTTGAGAGAGACTGGATGCGGTGTGCTAAGGGTCTTGGGTACACAAGAGCCTTCAAGGAATGCGATTTTGAATACTCAGATTTCATAGAATGCGTGCGAGATACTAAGAAGGTGAGAACTTAGTC